TGTCTTCACCTGTTGTAAGAAAATTAAGACTGCCTGTTATCCTGAATAGATACAAACCATACCAAAGTAAAAAAGCTCGCATTCCAATTCTCATTTGTATCTCTGCCTGTGAAGAGCGCGCACTTTATTACATTTAAATTTGCTCAATTCAGAAACGTGCTGAACTGGCATGAATTTGTTAGCTATGCACTGCTTCCTTCGCATCAAGAAATAATGTAGCTTTGTAACACATCTCATGTATAGCAATTTTTACTGCATTGAGCTCAAAAGGAGAAGAAAAAAGTTGCAGTCAAACACACCACAGTGCAGCAGAAAGGACATTTTACTAACTACTAGATGGTTAAAGGTAGTCAGAAAGAAAAGCGAACTATGCCTGAGATACCACGCAGGTCCTAATTAGATTTTAAAAGCTGTTACATTTTGCAACAAACGAACACAATGCAAACATGCCAGAACCAACGAAATGGGAATATCTAGAGCCAATGTGTTAAAAGATGTCATGAGGCTCATCAAATCAGATTATGATTTTGTAAACTAACAGGGTAAATTAGACGAGTTTTACAGGGTAAATTCTTGAATGAGAGAAGCTACAAAAATCAGCAATTAGCAATAGCTTACTCAAATGATTCACTGAACTTCCTCCGAATTTCTGATCAACTGGCATGACGTTCCTAGGTGCAACATGCTGAAATAACCATTTTCCAAAGACAGTCATTGTTAGCTTTTGTCTCTCTTTAGAATTTGACACTTAAACATACTGTCTCTGCCTCTCCAAACTTTTCTTTATTTCAAAGATGAACAATACTTTTCACTCATTCACCTGGACTGTATAATGCCGTGCTCCCATTTATAACTATAACAGCTGACACATATCACCCACCTCAACAGGACACCCTTCATCAGTAGCTCTCTCACACACACACATATACAGACACACTTGCATAACTTACAAAGCAGTATAGTTTAAAATGTGCTTTTAAATTCTGTTTAAGTAGCCTGTTAAACTAAGCTGTAAATTCACAGGAATTCTACTTTTGTCTCCCTTTTCATGTATTCGATTATACAACCAATCTAAAAACTAAGCCATTTTGCAGATTAGTGAGTCCTGAAACTTCTTCCTCTGTTAAAACACAAATAGCTCCACAACTTAGCCCTACAGAATAGCAGATTTGCCAGTAAATGCACATATATATGTATATACATATTTATATTATTTTTTAAAATTAGATGACACTGTAAACAGTGTAGAAAGTTGTATCTTATTCAGGCAACAAAAGTTTACCTGAACATAACAGAAACCAGATGAAAAATACACTGTTTTTCTACTTTCCACCACCCTAGCTTTTTTCTTTTTCTTTTTTTCTTAATACCCTGAAACAGGCGCTAGCAAACATCCAGACTAATCTACATATGAGTATTCTCAAAATGGAACTTCAGCTTCTTCCTCTGCAAAGATGGTTCTGCAGTGCAAGGAATCTCTGCTAAGTAACGTCTCTCAATAATCAAGACACACTTTGCTTTGCTTTATATCATGCTATTAGCCTTAGTTCTACCTCCTTAGACCACCCGAAGGGATTCTTCACCATTATGCTCTTCAAGTACTTTCAGATAATCGTATCTCCCACTTAGACATCATTTAGCCAAGTTTCATGCATTTCTTTTCATCTTCTTTCCCTCATAAATCAATCCCTTCAGCCTCTTCAGCATTCTTGTTGCTCTTCCTTGAATTTCTTCCAAATTGCTGACATCTTTCAGGGGCTGAGGAACTTCCAATTGCAAGCTGTGTTCTAGATGCATGTTTTTTACTCTAAAGGAAGATAATTAAACTTTTTCAAGAAATATCAATACTCAAATTCTGGAATAAATGTAAATCAGATTTCAGGGCACTTTTTCCAGAATAGATAATAATTATCCCCATTTTACAGAACAGAAAAGCAGAGAGGAGTATCTTCATTACTGTTGCACACAAGCAGTGCCAGAAAAAAGAAACAGATCCTGTGTTCCATCATTCTCAGTTCCAAGGTCTGCCAAGTTTCAGTCCACAGAAAAAGTAACATACACAACAAGAACCCTAAACTGAGATCTATAGTCAAACATAAGCCATTTCCAAGTGACAAAGGAACAACACACAGAGACCCCAACACCTCCCCATGTGAGCAACCACGGTGCCTGAGGCTGTTGCAACCAGTGGTAGTACCAGAACAACCCCTGTAACAGACTCAACCCCTGTAACAGACTATGTGCCATGTTTCACTATTACCTTAAGCAGTCAAGGTTTAAGTTTCTGATACATCTACCTGATTTTTAGAAACAAACCTCTAAAAGCAATAAAACCAGCCCTTAGCTATCATAAGGTTAACTACCCGAGCAAGCTATTCAACTCCAGAGGTTAAGACTGGTTTTAAATAAGACAAGACTGACTGACTGCCAGGCTGAGGCAGTTCAAGGCAGTTTCCTTCCCTTCCCTCCCACTCCCTGATATATTTGTGAAGGACTCACTGAGAAATAAAGTAAGCAAAAAAAAAATTTTTAGAAAGATTTCTTCCCCAAAGAAATCTGTAAAACAGAAAATATGAGCGGAACCAAGCAGATGAATAGGGTGGGGAAGGGAGAGAAGAATCTGATCAGTTAAATTTAATAAAAAAAAAAAACCTGAAAAACCCACAAACAGGATGCAGACACATTAAAAAAGCAACACTGACCTAACAATGGAATGTGAACTGCAGTTGACTTAAACAGCATCACAGCAATAGCCCTCCCCCTACACACAAATCTTTGTAACTCTTAAAGAAACAGTTATTTAGATCCTTCCAAACCCCGTGGTTTTTTCCCTGCTAACCATGCTTTGCTATATACTATAAGCTTGACCTGATTTAGGTTATTGCTTATTCTTTCTGGAGAGCTAAAGCACCCAAATTTGATCCAGGCTAAAGAAAAACAAAATTATATTATTCTGCCTACCTTATAGAAATAGTAAATTAGAATATTTGCATACATATTCTTCTCATTGGAAGAGCACACACAATAAAGAACCCTCTGCTTCATGATCTACTATTAAACATCAGGAAAGCACAAGCAAGATTAGATAAGGAACACCTTGGTGAAACACATCATTTCTTCCTACATTAACTTGTAAACTAAAAAGCCATTTCCTAAACTTGTGTGCTATTTTCTTAATATGACTGTGGTTCGTAGTTATGGTTCCTTCTTACATAGACAAAGATGATAGACTCTTTATTAGGCTTCTCCTTGTCCCATGAAGAACGGTTTGCTCAATCCAAAATTTGGAAATAGAAATGTGAATACTATCCTCCTGTTGTTCTCCCCTTCACAATATTTTTGTTCCAAGTTTACTGTCCTTTACTCAGCAAAATTTAAGTAAAATCCTTTCCTACATCCAGTGCTCCAGTACGTTGCAAGAACAGACGTAACAGCAAACAATACTGCTAGATAATAAACAGGCACTAACAGGGACATTTCAACAGTCGCCATTAAAACGTATACGCTAGCCTTTACTTGTAAGTTCCTATGGCCACTTTTACCAAGAAGCTCAAAAACAGGATCTCCCACATAAGCAGCAGATATGCCAGCTGCTCAGCCTACCACCTCTTCAGAACAAAAGTTACCAAGAACACTACATTCTAAAGATGTCATCTTGATTTTCAGATTGGACCCCTTCCAGTGGTAGGGCCCATTCACACATTTTTTCACCACCTAGCGGAAGCTACCTTAGTAAATGCTTAAAAGCTTTTCTACAACAGAAAAATGAAAAACAAAGAAAGGAATTGCACTGAGTGCATGTATTTAAGTATGTACTCTGCTTGCTAATCAGGCTTTCAGTCCTACTTGCAAAGTTTGTCTTTTGGTGGCAAAACTGGAATTATTATAGCTGGGACAGAAAGCAGAAGCTTTTTGCTTAGCTGGAAATTTTTATCCGACAAATCAAAAGACAGACAAACTGCTGGGGCCAAATTTGATTCATTTGTATCAAAAAGTCTGAAGTCAAATGAAGAATAGTCCATCTTTGGCAAGAAATCATGAAACTTCAGTTTTCTCTGTAGATCAATCGGTTTGTGATTTATTTGGTGCCATACAACATCATGCTTCCTTTTCTCCCCTTGTACAACAGAAGTAGTTTTGCTCATCTGCCTAGAGATAGTGGAGGATTAACTACTAACAGCTGTGTTGAAGACACTAGAGAAATGCAAAGTACTACTTGTATCATGCTACTAGTATCGTTAAAATATTATCCTACAATCTGAATTAAATGCAGCACTTATTATTGCTGTTCAGAGGCTCAGAATAACTTTTCAACCTCAGTAGAAGAGGAAAAAGCAACAGTAATGAAGCTTCTTATAAACTCTAGCACCTATCATTCCCCATACTCTAAACTAAGGAGGCAGAAATCATTTCAGTAATTCATCAAGGATGAAAAATATTGTACTAGATAAAGTTACAAAACCGAAAGACACAAGCAATAAAAAAACCTCGAGATCCCTAAAAACTCATTTATTAAAGCGCGTGCAGTTTTTGCCTGAAGGCAAGTTAGGTAATAATAACAACATGCCAAACAGAGCCAACCTAAGGAACTTGCATCCAGAATGCTATACTTAGTAAGTAGTTATAGGTAAATATGATCACACGTTTGTTTTACCTCGTTTGCTCAGGATGGCTCTGTTGAAAACCATACATATTTTAAGAGCAGAGAGATTTACACAAACCTTTCTGGGCAGAGCATAATTCCTGTGTTACTGATACTTAAGCAGAAGTCATTGAGACTTGAGTTTGTTTACATGCAGATGCGGCTTCAGGTCACTCAGTCTCGTAAGTCACAACCACCATCGTTTAACTAACGGAGGCACGATCCAAGAAACAACCAATAGTCCACGTGTGGACAAGCTGATGCCATAACCGTCACAAAATTATTGGAAACATTCATAGAAAGATCCCCTACACTTGACACAGATTAGCGTTTGTTCATTGAAACGATGAGCACCTACCTGGAATTCGGATTTTAAATTTGCCACTTTGTCCAAAGCCACCTTCTATTACTCCATCCTCTCCTGTAGATAATTTGACTTTTAGACCCACAAAAATTTGAATGTTTGTTTCCTTTTTAAACAATGAACGACCAATCACGCTGTAATCATCCATCACCTGCAAAAGAAATACAACTTCATGAGTCTACCGCTTACAGCGGCAAGAAATGTTATACCTATGAGATATGCTATAGTTTGGTGACTTTTACCACCCTGCCTTTGGAAAGTCATTACCCTCTAACGAACAAAGAGCTCTAGCTCTAGATTAGCCACCTAGAACGGCTCAGTTTTAAAGGCAATTTGTGTCCAGAACTATAGCAGACTATGGGAATTAATTCTGCTTTCACCTCCCTTTTTGGAATATACGAAGAGCCAAGTCTACCTCAATGTGCTATAAAGATCAGTTAATTAAAATCTCTTATTTGCTTTGAAATATTTCTGTGAAAGGCACTTAAGTATCTATGCAAACAAAAGGGTTTTTTCCACTCCATATCCTACCAGCAAGTATTTTATCATGTATATAAACATTCTTTGTCTCTCAGCTCCAGAACTGCATTCCAACAGCTATGCTTTCAAAGAGGTGACAGAATTACTCAGTTTCTAAATACAGCCTTTTACATAGTCACCTTTGCATAGACATTGATTTGTTAAACTAAAAACCTTATGACCATTGTATCCGATTTGAATTTCGAGATTTGCAACCTAGTGGGAAGAATCACTCCAAGTCTAGATTCTTAATCAAGCTATCAGAAACAAGAAGCAGCAAGGTCCGTAGGTAAAGCAAGATAAATTACCCTCCCTTCAGCATTACAAAGTTTAAGGTGCAGTCAGGTGAGCCTAATCCTGTAGGTGTGAAAATCCTTGTATGCCTAAGGCCTGGAGTTACTCCACTCTTAGCTACAGCAAGAACCTTAATTTACTTCTCAGAAGAAATAAGGGGGTACTATTTAACTTTTTCTGTGATTTTTTTTTTTATTGTGGCAAAGGTTGTTATTCTCTTTCTTATACCTTAGGACCAATTCTTAGTCAAACTACGAGATTCAAAGAGCAAAATAATTACAAGTAACAGTCAAGAGGTGCAACAGATTTTGAATACTCCTTTTATTCAGTTTACATGATGATTGAAAGTGTTGCAGGTTTATTAAAAGCTACTCCCCTTCCCTGAAACCTCTTCCACAAACAGTAGTGGATGTATCCATGGACTCAAATCCCTAACTTTTAATTTTGTTACAGAGGTATGCCCATATTATAATGTCGAAAGTCTCAATTCATAGAACAGCAGTTAAATCTAGCATCAGAAATTCAAATTTTCTGATTGTTTAAAACAGGGTTCACTTGCTCAGCTCTAACCATCCTTGAAAGGGTCATGCAGTACTACAGGACTGGCTGCACCAGCACCTCCCAAACCACATATACATGCAGGAATAGAAATGTCTACAGCCTTTCTTCCTTCTTTCACATGGAGATGACAGCAGCAGAGGCAGCTCTCAGCTGGTAAGTCAAAGGTGTAGGCAGAAGCATTCAGATGTCTGGAGAGCATTTGCTGGCTAAACATCCATTCCTTGCCCTTGGCAACCTCTGGCTTAAATTTAAAACTTGGGGCTGCAGTAGAGGTCTAGCAGAAGTAGAAGCTGTTAATTCAGATTTGAGGAAGCACTTATAATCTCAAAAGTTTGTCATTTTTCCAACTGTATCAGCTGCTAAAATAAAAATATTACCTCTCCCTATAAATCTTTTATTCCTAAATCAGGAATTTCAAAACTGAACATCCCTCTTCTCCACTGCTAGCTACTTGCTTCTGTTATATGTGAAATACAGATGGTCTCCTATATTCCAATAAGGACTTTTCCATATATCTATTATTTCCAAAGTTATCCCTCAAAATGGGACAGGAAGCCAACTTACACTACAATATACACCCTTTCCCCCTCCCCCACCCAAGAGCTTCAAAGTTATCTTTAACTTAATTTAAAAACTGAATTGTAGTGTGAACAATCGTACTAACATGGTTCAGTTTAGCCTCCCTGGCAAGGCTGTCAGGAGAGGAGGGGAAAAAATAAAAATAAAAAAAGCCAGAATGATTTCTTTGAACAAGTGTTATAAGCACCATGTACTTCTGAGTGAATCAGGAATGAAAACTGAAAATGAATATATGTATGCAATAAATGGTAATTTTTTTATTATTTTGTCATATTCACTTAATTCTTTAAAAAAACCCAAAAAATAAAGAAAACCCACACTCCTCTCTTCAAAGTAAATGTTCTTTTTAGGGCCTTGCACTTTACACTCATTCTAGCGCTGCAATTGCAAATATCCTGGGCCAAGGATGTCATCTGCATTGCTCCTTTCACTGGGCTGGTCAACATATAAGAAAATTCCTCCTCTAGCTGATTGCTAATATTATGTCCAAACCAACATTATTCCTTGGATATCTGAAAAGACCGCTTGGAAAAAAAACAATTGCTTTAACAGCTCTAAGACAATAGGAAATCAGCAAGCGGTTTGAGTGGCAGTTGGAAACAAAACCTTTATGTCCTGGAGTCTCAGTCCCTCACACTAAATATTTTTTAAAAAAAGGGGAGGGGGGTGAGAATGGGGGGAGGGAGAGAGAGAAAGTGAGCACGCATGCGCACACTCAAGAGATTGGCCTCTCACCAATTTATCCCTGAAGACAACTAAATAACGAGAGAATATCTGGTGTAACGAGAACTACGGTAACTGATGAGTCTTTGCAGTAAAATAGACAGGTGAAGGGGCTAGAGTTCACAGGTAATTGCTATGAAGGAGACATCTTCTCAATCATAACACAGTTTCATAAAAACAAAAGAAAAATTTAATTTCTGTTTTAGTCTTCCTTCATAGAAAGCCACAGAAAAGCATGTTGTTCTCTCCGATTGAAACTCAACACTTCCAATTACTTTACCAGCAATTTACCTCCAATCACTGGATTTTAAGTTAATCCTCTTTGAGTTCTCAGAATATCTACAATGGCAATCACTTTGCCTATTAGCTGAGTAGCCTTTTGGGAGATCTTTCTGCTTTTCTCTTTCAAACACTCTTTTTTTGTTATAAAATATTATTAACTTAGAAAGCCATATGCTGCAAAGACAGTAAGGGATATGTAGTCTGTTCTGAAGCAACAGCAAGGGGCCTAGCAATGAGGGCAGACTAATTTTATTAACTTCAGGGAAACTTCAAAAAGCTTCAGGGCTTTAATGCCAGACAGAGACGACCCCAAAAGTCAGTTTAAGTGCTGCATAAACAAAGGATTAGGACAAGAAAAAGCTGAAGGCTCCTTGCATTTCTTGTTTATATTGTCATATGACCTAGTGGGAGTGGGAGAGGGCTGCCTCTCCGACTTTAATCCCCCATGGTGTACAGTGGCGTTTCAGTTCACTGACCTACATTACGATAATATTTTTTTAAATTTATGGGCAGAGGTGCAGCATCAAACTCACTTAAGGACTTTAACAAAAAAAAAAAAAAAAAAGTGTGTGTGGGGGGGGGTAGAAGAGTGGGAGGGAAATACCCAGAGAGAAGTTTTTCTGGCTGGTATCATCTCCCTCTCTCATTGAGGTTAGATCAGCAGCTTAGAAAGGGATTTCAAGTTCAAAGGGAACGTCTCTGTTACTCTTGTTTTATGGCTTAGACCAGAGGACACAATAGCACTGACTTTATGAAATATCCCTTCCCACTTGGCTTTTGTGTTTGCAGGAAAAAAGTAAAGAGCAGTTTATTGCCATAGGTGAAGCATGCACATCTCTGGCACATAACACTTTTGCTAATACCACAAAGTTCACAACAAAAGATTAACCACCCCACATTCCTCATTTAACAGTACTTACACTACAGTACTGTTTGCCAAACTGCAATTAATAGTACATGTGTTGGTATTCAGTGCAATCTACAGTGTAATTTCAAGGAAAAATAACTATGGGATTTTCTTTTTTTGAGCAGGGACAGCAAACTATATTGTCTAGCCTGTTAAACCACTCATTTTTAAGGTAACTTAGAAGTTATCATCATCTGAACACCCTCTCAAACAAGCCATCATACACATTTTGAGGGCAAACTCCTCCATGTCTTAACCCATCTGTAGAAAAAAAAAAAAAAAAACACACCAAACACAAGGGGATCAGAACAGAACAGAAAAGCACACAAGAGGAAACAAAGTGGTGCCAGAACGAGAGATGGGAAATAAGATTCAGTGTTTTTACTTTTTGTCTCAAAATTTTTCTTAAGTATTAGACGGAGATAGAGAATTGCCTTTTCCAATTTAACCTAAAAATTATGTGCTTTTTAGTTAGAAATAAAACAAAAATAGTATTAAAAAAAATGATAAAACCAGGTTTCAGTAATATTCTGGACAAACTGAAAAACAGTCAATCGGAACCAAAGCAGAGAACAACAGGACAAAAAAAAAGGAACAAAAACACCTATGGGTAACACTAAAAATACAAAGCATTTTAATTACTTTTTGTACTTTACAAAAGGTACACTCGAGACATCTTCATCTCAGAGTCAATGACAGATCATTTATTTCAAGAAAAGAGTTTCAGAACACATTTCATTTCTATGTCAGAAGTGGGAATATTTTGGATGCTGCAAATTCCTATTCTCCTTTTAAGAAATGTGGGCTCATGTATTGAAAAAATGACCATACACAGAGCCCCGAGGTGAAGGAGAAAGGAATAGACAGGTTTTCACCAACAACTTGGATTTGTGGGTTTTTTCAATTCTCCAAATACAGTTCTGGCTTTTAGTTTGTTACTGCGACCTAGGTGAATGATTTGGTACAAAGAATGATTTAGTCGGCCATATCATCTCCTCAAGAGCTTACATAAGCATAAAAGTAAGCATTAAAGGCTTTTCATTTTGGAATTATGTCTTGCACTACAAGTTTTTAGTTTTGTGTGCTGGGCTCTAAAGACACACTCATCATCATCCAAGCCAACCAACTATAAACTTCTGCCTTTGCACATCCATCCAGGAGGAAGGAAACTCAAAACAAGTTAATCTACCTCAGCACTTCGTCTCTTATTACTGCCATTTTAATAGAGCAAAGACTTATCGCACAGACACCTACACATAACCATAGCTGGTTTTCAGATGTTTGCC